ACCGAACATGTTAAGCACATCGATATAGTGCTTAAGCGACTGCTCGATGCCAACATGAAGGAGGCACGAGAAAAGACTAAATTCTTTAAAGAAAGCGTAGAGTTTTTAGGCTTCATAGTTACTAGAGGTGGAACGAAAACAGACCCGGAAAAAGTCAGGGCAATACAAGAGTTCCCCGGACCCAAAACTCTGTTTAGCCTCAGGTTCTTCCTCGGCCTGGCGAGCTATTACAGAAGCTTTGTCAAGAATTTTGCCTCTATTGCCAGGCCTCTTACTCATATTCTCAAAGGGCAAAATGGAACGGTCAGTAAAAACATGTCCAAAAAAGTTTCTATTACGTTTGATGAAACCCAGCGCAATGCGTTTGACCACCTGCGTAATATCCTGGCATCAGAGGATGTCATTCTGACGTACCCCGATTTCAAAATACCATTCGACCTAACCACCGACGCTTCAGCCAGTGGAATAGGCGCGATATTGTCCCAGAACAAGAGGCCCATTACAATGATCTCGCGTACGCTTAAAGATTGCGAGCTAAATTACGCCACCAACGAAAGAGAATGGCTGGCGATAGTTTGGGCCAGACTAGACTACGGATAAACCCCTATACTGCTTCAGAAACCAAATTATTTTGGAAGAGGCAAACCAACCACTTCGGCGAGACTTCATTGTTTTTGGCAATAGAACTCGCCACTTTATTTACTTTAATAACAAAAACCTAGTTGTCGAATCTGTTAAAGAAATCATCAACGCCAACGTCGTAAACGCGATCCACTGCGACTTTCCGACACTAGCTTGTGTTCAACCTGCCTTGAGGCAGGAGTTCCCTGCAACAACATTTTGGCACTGTATTTCAAAGCTATCAGCTATACCGAAGCTCTTTGAGAACATTATTACGCCTCATTTACAACACAGTTGTAGGTCCCTTATTTCCTCTTGTCAACACGGATTTATAAAACGTAGGTCAACGACAACCAACCTTTTGGAGTTTACTTCATTTGTTATAGGAGGTTTTAGAAAGAATCGTCAGACTGATGTGGTCTACACTGATTTTAGTAAGGCGTTTGATTCTGTAAGTCACCCGATTTTAGTCCGGAAATTGGACCTTTTAGGATTTTCAGGTGATCTTCTTAGGTGGATTTTAAGTTATTTGAATGATAGGACTCAAAGGGTCATTTTTAAAAACTCTTTGTCATCCCTAATCCGAGTTACTTCCGGTGTACCACAAGGAAGTCATCTCGGTCCGCTCCTGTTTACATTATTTATAAATGACCTTCCATTAGTCTTATCGAAGTCACGGGTTCTTATGTACGCAGATGACGTTAAGTTGTGCCTGCAATATAATGACCCCGCACAAAGTTTAGCTTTACAATCGGATCTAAATGCATTTCAAACATGGTGCATGGATAATGAATTGAATTTAAATGGTTCTAAGTGTAAACTAATGACCTTTTTTCGTGTCAGCCCCCACTACTCAACGTATACTTTGAGTGGTTGTGCGTTAGATAGGATAACGCATGCTGACGACCTTGGAGTCTACATGGATCCTAGACTTAAATTTTCCGATCACATTACTACTATGGTAAATAAAGCCAGGGGCGTGCTTGCATTTATCAAAAGGTGGTCGAAGGAATTCGATGATCCCTATGTCACAAAGACCTTGTTTATTTCATTAGTCCGACCAATTCTTGAGTACTGCGCTCCTGTTTCGAGTCCCCAATATGGGGTGCATATAGACCGGATTGAGTCTGTGCAAAAAAACTTCTTAATATTTGCCTTACGGAGACTTAACTGGGATACAAGCCTAATACTACCATCCTACTCTAGTAGACTACTTCTAATTAACTTACCATCGTTAGCTAACCGTAGAACTATGCTTGGTATTACGTTTATTAGAAATCTTATTCATGGTGATGTAGAGAGTCCCGAGTTACTGGGTCGCCTGCATTTTAATGTGCCAAATAGATTCACTAGAAACTATATTCCTTTAGTATTAAATCACTGTATCTCTAATTACGCAATGCATGAACCTTTTAGAGTACTTTGCAATGATTATAATAGACTATATCATCTAATATCTACTACTGACTCACTTCCTATCTTTAAATCAATAATACTATCCTCCCTAGTAACTAATTAGTTTTACTTGATGTATTTTGTCTATTCGTATTGACCTGTATTTTTAATTGTCTATTGTAACATTGTCTTTTTCTTTGTCCGCGATTATGTTTACTCGCCCAAAACGGTGATGGGCTCCGCGCGTAACAAGCTTTGCTTGGTGTCGTAGGGCCACTTGTTTGTACTGACCATAGTGCATCAACGTCCAAGAAAAAAAAAAAAAAAAAAAAAAAAAAAAAAAAAAAAAAAACTTTGTAACTGACAATACAAATACCAATGAACAGCTGGTAAATTGTTAATGCCGAACACAACCGCTCCCACAGGGCTGCGCAGGAACACGCCAAGCAAATTCTTCGCGACTACTATTTCCCGAACATGTCAAAACTGGCCAGCGAAGTTGTCGCGAATTGCAAAGCCTCAAATAAAGCCATATACGATCGCCACCCCAAGCACCCCAATTCCTTCATATGTGGGGGAGATGTTACATATTAACATTTTTTCTACCGACAAAAAGATCTTCCTAACTTGCATCGATAAGTTCTCAAAGTTCGCCATCGTACAGCCCCTATCTTCTAGGGCAATAGTTGATGTACGGGCCCCTATACTCCAATTGTTAAATTTCTACCACAAAACTAGAACCATCTATTGTGACAATGTGGCTTCCTTCAATTCTGAAACGATTACGTCTTTGCTGAAAAACCAATACAGCATCGATGTCATTAATGCGCCACCGCTTCACAGTAGCTCCAATGGCCAAGTGGAAAGATTCCAAAGTACCTTGGCAGAAATAGCCAGGTGCCTCAAAATCGATAAAAAAAATTGACGACAATTTGGAGTTAATTTTGCGGGCTACAGTAGAATACAATAGATCGTTGCACTCAGTCACGGATTGTAGGCCAGCGGAAGTTATCCATGCCAGCAGCGACGAAGTCAACTCGGCTATTAGAGCCAAGATTGACAAGGCGCAACAGACCAACCTCGACAGAATCAACACTTCAAGACAAAACAGAGTCTTTGAAATTGGGGAAAAGGTCCTCGTGAGCAATAATATAAGACTCGGAAATAAGCTGACGCCGCTCTATTCAGAAGAGCGCATAGAAGCAGACCTAAAAACGTCTGTTCTCATTATAGGGAGGGTGGTCCATAAGGACAATATCAAATAAACATCTTCAGCATCCATACTCGCCCTTATGTTATGCAGAACTCAATATTGCTACAATATCCACAGGCTTGCCGTGATACTCATCTTACTGCTGTCCATAGCGAACGTGCGAATCACCGACTTCTCTCACGCAAAGTATATTCCAGTATTGGATGGGAATGTCCTAGTATGGGAACAATATGGCCTGGTTAGGCACTCGACTAATATGTCTGAGTTCTCCAGCATAATTAACTCTACGGTCAGAATGCTCGAGCTGTTCCCACAATCGCACATGAGGAAGCTACTGGAAGTTGACGTCAACCATGCCCAGAACATGCTGGATGAATTAACAGTGCACCATAGAATGGCCAGGAGCTTAGATTTCCTGGGCTCGGCACTCAAGGTCGTGGCAGGCAGGCCCAACGCGGAGGACCTCTATAAAATTAAAGCAAACGAAGCAGCGCTGATTGAGGCAAGCAAAAGGCAGGTTGTAATCAACACAGAGACACAGAAACACATTAACCAACTTACAGATACAGTAAATAAAATTCTCAAGGAAAAAAGTTGACTCCGGCCACCTTTTCGAAACACTTCCCTATGGAGGTCCCCATAGTTAGTATTATGATTGTATCTAAGATTAAAATTTTTCAATCTAATGTTTTTATCCATGTCATAGATCAGTATCCTAGAGTTAAGCTTATTTGTAAAAAAGTCCTGCTCTTCCCTGTCGCACACTACCATACTATGCTACAAATAGAAGACAACATCGTGGCGGAATGCGATGACGGAATCCTAGCAGTCTCCGATTGCGCTTCTACCAACTTGGCCACATTTTGGAAAAAGGCGTCCCACGACACTTGCGCCAGGCAATTACATGCAGGCAGGGCTGCTACATGCCGGACGCGGCCCAGAAATGTGGAACCCCTCACAATCGTGGACGATGGAGTAATAATCGTCAAGAAAAAACTTACGAGGATTACCATCGATGACGGTCCTACAACAACCATAATAGGGACCCACCTTATTACTTTCGAAAGGAAGGCGGTGATTAACGATTCCGCGTATTTGAACCTCAATTACTCTGTGAAAAAGAGCCCGGGAATCGCGGCCTCTCCCTTAATTAACATCACGGGACACGATCACATACTAAGTCTGCCACTACTACAACGGACAACCTAAAACTACAACCTGCGTCTGATGCAGGAGCTCAGAGATGACGTGTCGGCTGAAGGTGCACCAAGGATTTGGTTCGCCGCGGGAGACGCCGTCAGCCTCACACTATGCGGCTTGGTCCTGCTCCAACAACACTGCAGGCGCAAACGAGAGGCATCCCAATTACGAAGTCCATCGACGAATTGGCTGTCACCGAGGACGGCGTCTAATTTAAGGGGGGAGTAGTTAACAACCAACTCCCAGCTTAGGCTGAGCAGGCCAATTCATATTCCCTTTATTAATATTAATAATTTGTATTATTATTATTATTACACTTCTTATACCACTCATGTATGGTCCACCTTAGTTTTGGTCCACCCTAATGGGCCCGAGAGCTGAGCCAACATATTGTGCCATTATGGGCCGTGGCTTTGTCTCATTGGCTGACAGCAATCGTATGACTTCTGCAAAATGTGCATGGTCAGCGGTCTGCCACGGGCATCCGGTCATGCATGAGCTTTTGTCAATTCTTAAGTTCAGTAAATAAATAAATTAAGAGCACCAGCTCCTACTAATGAAACTCCGGCACTTAGCCGTAAAATCTTTTATTAACCAATATACCGACTGAGTCTCTAGGCCAGCGGTATCGAAGGACAGTTCCCTTCCACCCTAATCTCCCTATCTCAGCATAGGAGCAGTACGGCCGACGGGCTACGAATTATTGGAGACAGCAATCTCCCTATCTCAACATAAGAGCAGTGCGGCCAACCGGCGAATTATTGGAGACAGCGGCGAGGGACCCCACATCGAGCGTTCCCCTCCCCTCACACTCGTTAATTTGTACGTGAACGGACGGGAAAAAGACACTCGCTCTTTCGGAAAGCTTCCCATCATCTGGACTTGCAATCTCTTTTTGTGGATAACGCAGACCTTGCAGGAGTTAACCAATGCCTTCACCAAGTTCTTTATTCTCGGAAACCAGTATCTGGACCGGGTGAAACGCACCACTAACTGATCACCACCATGTAATGAAATGAGATGCGTAAATTTTACCAAAAGCCGCGAGAGTGCACATTCGTACGGTAGGAACATAGTATGTCGTTCATCATACCGCAAACTCTCGGAGGCCGTTACGCGGCCGCATGCCCAGATTAGCCCTTTTTGGTCTAGAAAGGGGTTCAGGCGCTTCTGACTCAAGCAGCGGTATTCTTCAGAAAAATACTTGAGCTGAGTACAAATTGTCATGAGCCGTTCCGTGGCGTCAACGTCTTTGGCCTCTAGACGGATCCCGGAAAGCGGTGATTGTCTTCGACATCGCTGGATAAATCGATGGACATACGCGAGGACCCGCAATGCTCTATCTAATTTGGAAATGCGATCAAGGAAATCCTCTGTCGGCATAAACGCTACATGGGCTTTGACGGCACCCCTTTCGATCTCGGTCGCCGGCAGGTCGGTTCCCTGGCTAGGCCATTGAACGCGTGGCCAAGTGGGTCCATGCCACCAAAGCGGGCTATCCACAAGCTCTTGAAGGGGAACTCCTCGACTAGCCAAATCAGCTGGATTGTGTTCGGATTGAACTTGTGACCAATTGGCTGCCTCTGTGGACTCGGTGATCTTCGTCACTCTTGTTGCAATTGGAGTCGAGTGGGAGCGACGTTATCGATAGTTTAGGTCGATAGGGCGATAGCTGCAGCAGCGGGATGAGTCTGGCGGGCGATCTGGCCAATTGAAGATTAATCCCGGTTCGCTCTGGGATTACTTCAAATGGCCCATGTATCCAATGACCCAATGTCGAGAGAGGCCTTGTAATATGGCGGGGGGCGATGATCAGCAGATATCGTGATAGTCGCGGCCATACTGTCCAGCAATCAAGGCAGATCCAGCTAGGAGTGCTAGTATACATTTTCTTTGTGCCTTAAATTAAATAGTGAGTTATGTGAAAGTTCTAGAGCAGTTCGGTATTTAATATTTATCATTTATAAAGGCAGCCGGGGTCCCAATACAAAGGGCCCCGGAAGATTTATTTGGAGTTTACTGACATCGCCATACTTCGCCATACCTACCAGCCCGACTTGGCTACCCAGAAACCGGTGTCCGTTCGACCCGTGCCAGCGACCAGCCAGGAAAGCCTTCCACAATCGACGCCGACGACGTCAACATTTCCCGGTGAGTCCGTTCCGGCGTTCTCTGGAACTTCCAGCGAACGCATTGCGGCGCTGAGAAGTATCGCCATTTTGTCTGGCAGCCGAATCTCGGACTGCCCTTACTCAACTCACCGGACAGCGCCGTTTTACCGTGTGAAGATCCGTATCGCTGCTGGCCTCCGGCGGAAAGTCATCATCGCCTCCAGGCCCGGCCCGACGGTGGCTGAAATTTACGAGAAATTAAATACACGTGTACCTCGATTGTATATATTGATATCTACTTACCTGTTTGTGAGTTTATCCGGAGTTAGACCCGAGAGCCTTATTTGTCCTCGCTGTTTGCCTGAAATTAAAAAGGTCGCGAGCATTAGTTAAATGGTATAGCTTACAGTGCAGTTACGTACCTTTTTGGCCCGTCCCTTCTTTTCCCTTGGAGCTCCTCAGGATTAGGTGACCATACACACGCGCATCGCGCATGTTCCTTGAGGGCCGCGTTTCCATGCGAGCTCTACCAATACATGGCTGGTAGAGCATAGTTTCCGCGGCGCCTGTACCCTTATCCTGCAAAACGAATCCTCTGCTTTGACCGCGTAAATATCCGAGACGGCGGCCAGGTTTCGGTCTTAAAGGCTGAGGAAGGATAAATCTGTTAAGAGGAGCATGTATATAAACGTTTGTACTTACGATATTTATTAAACCTTTGTAATACCCACTATGTGTAAGTGAGCTTTCCCAGTGGGGGAGATGGAACCGTAGGCGTAGTCGCGAGGAGGGGGCTCCTGCCGACTGCGAATGGGTGGTGCCCTGCAGTATCTTGAGGGCATCCATGGTTGGGTGGGAGCGCTTGGCTAGGACATCGATAGCCACCAAATGTAATCCATTTTCCCGACAATAATTGTAGATTTTTGCTTTGTTTACGTTTTTGCCCTTAGTGATGACCGATAGATTAGTAAAGTGAGACCGCGAAGTTATCGATACTTATGTTGCGAGCTGTGGCATTAGGGGTACTCAGCCCTGAGGAACGACTGAGCTAGCGGCACTGCCACCGAAAAAAGCAGTTCGTAACACCCTGTTGGAAACGAACGTTGTCCAATGACTCGCTGGTTTGGCTAACCATGCTAGCACAATCGTGGAATCGGTCCAACAATGGAGTTTTGAGATTTCAGCCTCGGCATATTAGGAAGGATGGCTTTGGCCATCTCGGACAAAAAAGAGCCCCGCATAACTCCAGCCTAGGAAGGGACACCGTTTTGACTGGAGCCACACGCGTCTTGGCCGTGAGCAAGTGCATCATCGTCTTATGGCCCATCTCTACGCGCACATAGATCGCAGCCCCGTATGTCTTTTGCGAGGCGTCACAGAATCCGTGATGCTCTACGCGGAGCTCTGGACGGAAGGAAACCCACCTGGGAATTCTGACCTGGTCTAGGACCGAATAGCTCTGGAGAACACTGTTCCACCTTTGGCACAGCTCAGTTGAAAGTTTATCGTCTCAACCTAGATCCGGAAGCCAAATCTCTTGCATAAAGATTTGGCACACACAACTAATGGAGCAAGCCATTTCGGAATAAGATGCGCTGAAACGGGGAATGCTTCGGATCTACCCATATCTGTCGATACATTTTCTCGATATCGGCACTGTAGACGTATCGGAAATATAGCCACTTCAGGATCTGGATAGTTAGATCGGACTGTAAGACTGGGCCAGCCTGAAGGATATCATTTAAACTGACCCCATTCTCTACAAGGCTGGAGGCATTGAATACCACACGCATCTTGGTGGTTGTATAAATAAAACACGCTGACCAAAAAAAGTTTATCATGTCGGTTGGTTTAATTTTTATTTTAATATATTTAACCGGATGACCGCCGGAAAACTTTCATAAGTGGGAACAATATGATTGAAATTTAAAAGATATGTGTATGTATGTAGATATATATAGTATGTATGGATGTTGATGTGTATGAAGGCGGGTATGTGATGTGGTGTGTCGATTTTATATATGTAAGTGTATCCATACATACGGATGTACGGCCAAATGAAATTAAAAAATGGGCAATATGGCCGCACGTAGCAAAAGGAAAATCGAAGAAAAATAGCGAAGTAATTTATTAATTGCCGTTGTCGGATTTAATCGGTTTTGGACAATTCGTACAGAAAGTCAAACCGGCAATTAAGCCGTATTTATCTTGTGGGGCCAAGATTTTAAAAAAGCATTTTTGTAACATTAATATGCCACGGATTAGCTGCAAGCCTACCTTGATCGTTAGACATTTTTTTCTAAGAAATTTTGCATTTTAGCTTTTTCAAATTGGTCCTCACATAGAGCGAGAAAATTCAATTCCAAGATGACCGTTTTCCTGGAGAATTTCTGTGAATATTGCATCAATATATAAAGAACCTGAGCTATCATTTTAGCATTCTTGTATTTAATAAAAAATGTGAACTTGATTTGATACAGTATTTAGATTTTTTGACTTTCTTCATATTTGGTTTGTTAAAGCAACATATTAAGGGCACTGTGCGATGTGAATTTAAAATGAGCAGCCTGTGATGTCTTCTCCCATTAATATTTATATATTTAAGCCTAGACCTCAGATCGATGAAAACTGCGAGCCAACCATAGGAGTGAGCGAGAGGCAAATACGAGGCTAACGCTTTTCCTCGGGTCTGTTTTTCAGCGCGGTACTCAGATGAGCTAAGAAAATACCAGAAAAAATGCCATACCTAGCAAGTGAATTTTCGATGAACTTCGTTACCCGCGGCCCAAAGAATAAGAAATTTAATCTTTGGCGGTGTTCGTGCAATGGCGATGTGGAGACTAAAAATTACAAATGAAAGGAAAACCCCAAAGTCGGATGCAGGAGGTCAGTGCAGATTAAGTAGGACCCTAAATCCAAGCTTATGGCCTTTATTGTGGAAGCATTTCCACAAAAGGGGCAAATTCGCTGAATAGTTGAAGTGCTGGAGTAGATCCACGAGAGAATCCTAGTAGGAAGGAACATGCCGAGGGGGACTTCGATCTCTACATGGACATCCTGCCGGGCGCGACCTCGCAAAGAAAGTAAAATCTGGCCAAAAGAATTTGGTTGCGTGGAGGACCCGCTGGCTTCTATAGGAAGGAGGGAAATAGGGCGCCCGCTAAGGAAAAGTTGGAGAAGCCATAGCCAGCCACTGCCAGGATGCTGGCTGACTTCCTGCAGCATCAGCGGATCAACCCAGTTCTCCCACTTCCTCAAGGTCCAATATGCCTATTGCGACTCGGAGCTGTACTGCGGTGGAGCGGGAAAGATGGCGAAGCATCCGTGGGACGAGTAGGAAGCCTTAAACTACTAATTTACATAAATGAAAACATTCGTTGAACATTCCATTTATTTTTATTTAAATTTCTTTGTGTACCAGCAGACTCCTTTTTGACTCCATTTGATTTGTTTTCCGTTTGGCAACAAACCCAGCTGCTTGAAAGTAAGACCATGCTACATGCCTTGCGGGTGAACTTTGAAATCTTCGTTCACACTACAAAGAATAAGATTTTTCGACTAGTGAAACTCTTAGCCGATCTGAGTACTAGACTTTAGAAAACATAAAATATCATCGTTATATCTATATTTTAAATTGATACTTTCAACTTTATTTTTTACTGTTAGTCGATTTTCCTAATTGTTTTTTGTACCTATCGGGAAAAACAATGAAATATTAAAAATTACTCTGTGAAAAAGAGCCCGGGAATCGCGGCCTCTCCCTTAATTAACATCACGGGACACGATCACATACTAAGTCTGCCACTACTACAACGGACAACCTAAAACTACAACCTGCGTCTGATGCAGGAGCTCAGAGATGACGTGTCGGCTGAAGGTGCACCAAGGATTTGGTTCGCCGCGGGAGACGCCGTCAGCCTCACACTATGCGGCTTGGTCCTGCTCCAACAACACTGCAGGCGCAAACGAGAGGCATCCCAATTACGAAGTCCATCGACGAATTGGCTGTCACCGAGGACGGCGTCTAATTTAAGGGGGGAGTAGTTAACAACCAACTCCCAGCTTAGGCTGAGCAGGCCAATTCATATTCCCTTTATTAATATTAATAATTTGTATTATTATTATTATTACACTTCTTATACCACTCATGTATGGTCCACCTTAGTTTTGGTCCACCCTAATGGGCCCGAGAGCTGAGCCAACATATTGTGCCATTATGGGCCGTGGCTTTGTCTCATTGGCTGACAGCAATCGTATGACTTCTGCAAAATGTGCATGGTCAGCGGTCTGCCACGGGCATCCGGTCATGCATGAGCTTTTGTCAATTCTTAAGTTCAGTAAATAAATAAATTAAGAGCACCAGCTCCTACTAATGAAACTCCGGCACTTAGCCGTAAAATCTTTTATTAACCAATATACCGACTGAGTCTTTAGGCCAGCGGTATCGAAGGACAGTTCCCTTCCACCCTAATCTCCCTATCTCAGCATAGGAGCAGTACGGCCGACGGGCTACGAATTATTGGAGACAGCAATCTCCCTATCTCAACATAAGAGCAGTGCGGCCAACCGGCGAATTATTGGAGACAGCGGCGAGGGACCCCACATCGAGCGTTCCCCTCCCCTCACACTCGTTAATTTGTACGTGAACGGACGGGAAAAAGACACTCGCTCTTTCGGAAAGCTTCCCATCATCTGGACTTGCAATCTCTTTTTGTGGATAACGCAGACCTTGCAGGAGTTAACCAATGCCTTCACCAAGTTCTTTATTCTCGGAAACCAGTATCTGGACCGGGTAAAACGCACCACTAACTGATCACCACCATGTAATGAAATGAGATGCGTAAATTTTACCAAAAGCCGCGAGAGTGCACATTCGCAAACTCTCGGAGGCCGTTACGCGGCCGCATGCCCAGATTAGCCCTTTTTGGTCTAGAAAGGGGTTCAGGCGCTTCTGACTCAAGCAGCGGTATTCTTCAGAAAAATACTTGAGCTGAGTACAAATTGTCATGAGCCGTTCCGTGGCGTCAACGTCCTTGGCCTCTAGACGGATCCCGGAAAGCGGTGATTGTCTTCGACATCGCTGGATAAATCGATGGACATACGCGAGGACCCGCAATGCTCTATCTAATTTGGAAATGCGATCAAGGAAATCCTCTGTCGGCATAAACGCTACATGGGCTTTGACGGCACCCCTTTCGATCTCGGTCGCCGGCAGGTCGGTTCCCTGGCTAGGCCATTGAACGCGTGGCCGTTGCAGCCAAGTGGGTCCATGCCACCAAAGCGGGCTATCCACAAGCTCTTGAAGGGGAACTCCTCGACTAGCCAAATCAGCTGGATTGTGTTCGGATTGAACGTGTGACCAATTGGCTGCCTCTGTGGACTCGGTGATCTTCGTCACTCTTGTTGCAATTGGAGTCGAGTGGGAGCGACGTTATCGATAGTTTAGGTCGATAGGGCGATAGCTGCAGCAGCGGGATGAGTCTGGCGGGCGATCTGGCCAATTGAAGATTAATCCCGGTTCGCTCTGGGATTACTTCAAATGGCCCATGTATCCAATGACCCAATGTCGAGAGAGGCCTTGTAATATGGCGGGGGGCGATGATCAGCAGATATCGTGATAGTCGCGGCCATACTGTCCAGCAATCAAGGCAGATCCAGCTAGGAGTGCTAGTATACATTTTCTTTGTGCCTTAAATTAAATAGTGAGTTATGTGAAAGTTCTAGAGCAGTTCGGTATTTAATATTTATCATTTATAAAGGCAGCCGGGGTCCCAATACAAAGGGCCCCGGAAGATTTATTTGGAGTTTACTGACATCGCCATACTTCGCCATACCTACCAGCCCGACTTGGCTACCCAGCAACCGGTGTCCGTTCGACCCGTGCCAGCGACCAGCCAGGAAAGCCTTCCACAATCGACGCCGACGACGTCAACATTTCCCGGTGAGTCCGTTCCGGCGTTCTCTGGAACTTCCAGCGAACGCATTGCGGCGCTGAGAAGTATCGCCATTTTGTCTGGCAGCCGAATCTCGGACTGCGCTTACTCAACTCACCGGACAGCGCCGTTTTACCGTGTGAAGATCCGTATCGCTGCTGGCCTCCGGCGGAAAGTCATCATCGCCTCCAGGACCGGCCCGACGGTGGCTGAAATTTACGAGAAATTAAATACACGTGTACCTCGATTGTATATATTGATATCTACTTACCTGTTTGTGAGTTTATCCGGAGTTAGACCCAAGAGCCTTATTTGTTCTTGTTGTTTGCCTGAAATTAAAAAGGTCGCGAGCATTAGTTAAATGGTATAGCTTACAGTGCAGTTACGTACCTTTTTGGCCCGTCCCTTCTTTTCCCTTGGAGCTCCTCAGGATTAGGTGACCATACACACGCGCATCGCGCATGTTCCTTGAGGGCCGCGCTTCCATGCGAGCTCTACCAATACATGGCTGGTAGAGCATAGTTTCCGCGGCGCCTGTACCCTTATCCTGCAAAACGAATCCTCTGCTTTGACCGCGTAAATATCCGAGACGGCGGCCAGGTTTCGGTCTTAAAGGCTGAGGAAGGATAAATCTGTTAAGAGGAGCATGTATATAAACGTTTGTACTTACGATATTTATTAAACCTTTGTAATACCCACTATGTGTAAGTGAGCTTTCCCAGTGGGGGAGATGGAACCGTAGGCGTAGTCGCGAGGAGGGGGCTCCTGCCGACTGCGAATGGGTGGTGCCCTGCAGTATCTTGAGGGCATCCATGGTTGGGTGGGAGCGCTTGGCTAGGACATCGATAGCCACCAAATGTAATCCATTTTCCCGACAATAATTGTAGATTTTTGCTTTGTTTACGTTTTTGCCCTTAGTGATGACCGATAGATTAGTAAAGTGAGACCGCGAAGTTATCGATACTTATGTTGCGAGCTGTGGCATTAGGGGTACTCAGCCCTGAGGAACGACTGAGCTAGCGGCACTGCCACCGAAAAAAGCAGTTCGTAACACCCTGTTGGAAACGAACGTTGTCCAATGACTCGCTGGTTTGGCTAACCATGCTAGCACAATCGTGGAATCGGTCCAACAATGGAGTTTTGAGATTTCAGCCTCGGCATATTAGGAAGGATGGCTTTGGCCATCTCGGACAAAAAAGAGCCCCGCATAACTCCAGCCTAGGAAGGGACACCGTTTTGACTGGAGCCACACGCGTCTTGGCCGTGAGCAAGTGCATCATCGTCTTATGGCCCGTCTCTACGCGCACATAGATCGCAGCCCCGTATGTCTTTTGCGAGGCGTCACAGAATCCGTGATGCTCTACGCGGAGCTCTGGACGGAAGGAAACCCACCTGGGAATTCTGACCTGGTCTAGGACCGAATAGCTCTGGAGAACACTGTTCCACCTTTGGCACAGCTCAGTTGAAAGTTTATCGTCTCAACCTAGATCCGGAAGCCAAATCTCTTGCATAAAGATTTGGCACACACAACTAATGGAGCAAGCCATTTCGGAATAAGATGCGCTGAAACGGGGAATGCTTCGGATCTACCCATATCTGTCGATACATTTTCTCGATATCGGCACTGTAGACGTATCGGAAATATAGCCACTTCAGGATCTGGATAGTTAGATCGGACTGTAAGACTGGGCCAGCCTGAAGGATATCATTTAAACTGACCCCATTCTCTACAAGGCTGGAGGCATTGAATACCACACGCATCTTGGTGGTTGTATAAATAAAACACGCTGACCAAAAAAAGTTTATCATGTCGGTTGGTTTAATTTTTATTTTAATATATTTAACCGGATGACCGCCGGAAAACTTTCATAAGTGGGAACAATATGATTGAAATTTAAAAGATATGTGTATGTATGTAGATATATATAGTATGTATGGATGTTGATGTGTATGAAGGCGGGTATGTGATGTGGTGTGTCGATTTTATATATGTAAGTGTATCCATACATACGGATGTACGGCCAAATGAAATTAAAAAATGGGCAATATGGCCGCACGTAGCAAAAGGAAAATCGAAGAAAAATAGCGAAGTAATTTATTAATTGCCGTTGTCGGATTTAATCGGTTTTGGACAATTCGTACAGAAAGTCAAACCGGCAATTAAGCCGTATTTATCTTGTGGGGCCAAGATTTTAAAAAAGCATTTTTGTAACATTAATATGCCACGGATTAGCTGCAAGCCTACCTTGATCGTTAGACATTTTTTTCTAAGAAATTTTGCATTTTAGCTTTTTCAAATTGGTCCTCACATAGAGCGAGAAAATTCAATTCCAAGATGACCGTTTTCCTGGAGAATTTCTGTGAATATTGCATCAATATATAAAGAACCTGAGCTATCATTTTAGCATTCTTGTATTTAATAAAAAATGTGAACTTGATTTGATACAGTATTTAGATTTTTTGACTTTCTTCATATTTGGTTTGTTAAAGCAACATATTAAGGGCACTGTGCGATGTGAATTTAAAATGAGCAGCCTGTGATGTCTTCTCCCATTAATATTTATATATTTAAGCCTAGACCTCAGATCGATGAAAACCGCGAGCCAACCATAGGAGTGAGCGAGAGGCAAATACGAGGCTAACGCTTTTCCTCGGGTCTGTTTTTCAGCGCGGTACTCAGATGAGCTAAGAAAATACCAGAAAAAATGCCATACCTAGCAAGTGAATTTTCGATGAACTTCGTTACCCGCGGCCCAAAGAATAAGAAATTTAATCTTTGGCGGTGTTCGTGCAATGGCGATGTGGAGACTAAAAATTACAAATGAAAGGAAAACCCCAAAGTCGGATGCAGGAGGTCAGTGCAGATTAAGTAGGACCCTAAATCCAAGCTTATGGCCTTTATTGTGGAAGCATTTCCACAAAAGGGGCAAATTCGCTGAATAGTTGAAGTGCTGGAGTAGATCCACGAGAGAATCCTAGTGGGAAGGAACATGCCGAGGGGGACTTCGATCTCTACATGGACATCCTGCCGGGCGCGACCTCGCAAAGAAAGTAAAATCTGGCCAAAAGAATTTGATTGCGTGGAGGACCCGCTGGCTTCTATAGGAAGGAGGGAAATAGGGCGCCCGCTAAGGAAAAGTTGGAGAAGCCATAGCCAGCCACTGCCAGGATGCTGGCTGACTTCCTGCAGCATCAGCGGATCAACCCAGTTCTCCCACTTCCTCAAGGTCCAATATGCCTATTGCGACTCGGAGCTGTACTGCGGTGGAGCGGGAAAGATGGCGAAGCATCCGTGGGACGAGTAGGAAGCCTTAAACTACTAATTTACATAAATGAAAACATTCGTTGAACATTCCATTTATTTTTATTTAAATTTCTTTGTGTACCAGCAGACTCCTTTTTAAATTGATCCATTTGATTTGTTTTCCGTTTGGCAACAAACCCAGCTGCTTGAAAGTAAGACCATGCTACATGCCTTGCGGGTGAACTTTGAAATCTTCGTTCACACTACAAAAAATAAGATTTTTCGACTAGTGAAACTCTTAGCCGATCTGAGTACTAGACTTTAGAAAACATAAAATATCATCGTTATATCTATATTTTAAATTGATACTTTCAACTTTATTTTTTACTGTTAGTCGATTTTCCTAATTGTTTTTTGTACCTATCGGGAAAAACAATGAAATATTAAAACACTTCATGTTCCAATTTTTACCGTTTCACTTTGGTTGCTTATTCATCGACGCTAGCCTGACATCTTATAAGGCAAAGGAACGAAATAAAACTAGTTTCAACTAATTTGTATGATTGAAAAACATCTAAAATTAAAATATACCGGCCCGAAAAAAGAGCGTTCTAAATATTGAGAGTATTTCTAAACATTGAACTTGTCATTTTGAAAGAGCAGGTGTCGATTCGCGGAGATGACTTGATTTACATATGTACATAAATATATGCATGTTTGTAATGTAATTGGAGTTTTAGAAAGTATTTGACTCTTGGCTAAATTGGCTATTTTTTAGGCTGGTACAGTTTCCTCTTAATAGTAATTCCTTAAAATGGTTCCGAAACGTAACCATGGCTATGTCACAATTTTTGTGGCCGTTGTATTAGTTTGTTTGTTGAAAATATTGTTCTGGAACCCACCTCTGCCAATTTTGACTGTAAGTACTTATAATTTTGCATTGGCTAAACATTTGTATTACATTTTGTGAAACAATTGAATTTCTAAATGGTGATTTCCGGAGTACCTGATATGGTGAGATTTTTTTTCTGCCCGACAAAATCGATCAAAAAAAAGCGTGAAATTATTTATTTATTCTGAAGATTGAATTAGAACAAAATTAGCTGTTTATATTCCCTAACCCCTTAGTTACTCAATACCTAAGTCAATGGACATAATGGATCTCCGGTTTCCCAATCTTAATTCTTTCAATTTTAGGTCTTAGCTCTTTGTTTCCAATTATGGTTTGTCTGGACGATAACTTTAAAATGGTACATGTCTTTGTTTTTGTCGGACCTTTGTCGATATCAACAGACGCCCTACGATCACTAAATTGTGAAAAATTTTACATATTCAAAGTTTGCCGAGTTGTAGCTTACAATACACTCAATGTAGCCTATTCATTTATTTAGAAAAATTAATGAGCGACATTAAAGATTCAGACTAAAACATATATCACCATAATTGTTTAAGCGCAACTTGAGATATAAATAAAACACGGAGACACCAACATTTTTTTTATTAATTTTTAAAAGAACACACAAACAACATTTTTTTTCTACCATCATCTTTGGGGCATTTTGGCTGTAAACTAGTGTTATTAGGACAACATGTATTTCAGTTTGAAGTTTTTACAAAAAAAATGTTTATCTTCCTAACTTAACTGTATGATCTCAGTCAATTTGAAACAAAAATAGACGAAGTTGACACAACGCAGTTTCCATCCACGGCAAGACAGCCTACATATAGAAAAACAAGGAAGAACGCTATAGTCGAGTACCTCGACTATCAGATACCCGTTACTCAGCTAAAGGGACCAAAGGGAAATGGCGATATGCAAGCAGCAAAGCGAGATTAAAATACGCCACCTACCGGCGGTAGACAGATTTAAGCGTTATGGGCGTTAGAGAAAATTTTTTTTGGATGAATCGATAGGTATTGACAAGACCAATTCATTTCAGCTAAAATTTTATCTAGCATGAAAACTGTGGGCGTCACAGGCTTGGGCGGTTTGTGGGCGTTAGAGTGGGCGTGGCAAACTTTTTTTTGGGTCAATCGATAGGTATTGATGAGAACAATACATTTCAGTTAAAATTTTTATTCTAGCATCAAAACTGTAGGAGCCACAGTTTTGGGCGGTTTGTGGGCGTAAGAGTGGGCGTGGCACATTGCTGAAACAAACTTGCGCTGCGTAAGAAGCTCAGAAATCCGCACGCCAAATTTCAATAGCCTTATAGTTTCCGAGATCTCAGCGTTCATCCGGACAGACGGACATGGCTAGATCGACTCGGCTAGTGATCCTGATCAAGAATATACTTACTTAGAAAAATTGAGAACGAAAAAAGTCGAGATCGGTTCTTCTCTGTTTGAGAATTTTGTTTTCTCACCTTTTCTTCTCGATAACGAGACGAGTACGATTTCGATTTTGGTATTCTGATAAAAAAGCAATCCTGGGCTTGAGGTTGTTGAAGAGGGAAGTGAGTGACAGGAGAGAGACTCTTCTCTTGCAATTATCAAAAAGGTATCGGAGTGAGCTGCGACTCTTCGTCTCTGATATTCACTTCTTCGTTTTGGTACAATGTTCGGTTAACGTGACAACAAAAGTGACAAAAAAATGGAGAACTGGCTCCGCCTGTTCGATTAGATAACGTAAGTAAAATCAAATTTTTACAAGTTCTGTTATTTTATTCTGCTTTTTTTCGAGCACGTTTTTCATAAGAAAGCGAAATCAGAAATGCGTTCTATTAACTCCTTTTCTTACATCTGTACAGTGTACATTGTATATAAATATATTGATTTACGTACACATGTACGCTGGGCACACATGGAAGCTGGGCATCTGGCAGACATGTGGATTATTCCCATGCATTTGTAGCATCGCCTGGGCTCCATTTTCTGTCTTATGCGGCAGACGACCCATAAACGTCGGAATAGGTCACATGTCTGTCAGATGCCCAGCGTCAGAGGCAACAGCCAAGATCCTGCTTCAGATGTGGCAAGGATGGCCACGAGTATAAAACTTGTACCCAGGGCAAACCGAAATGCATCATCTGCACAAGAAGCGGGAAATCTGGAGGAGAGGCCGAACACTCGACCCTCAGCAGGATTTGCCCTGAGTACCGGAAAGCCATGAATGATAAACAGAATGGTTAAGGTCCTGCAGCTCAACCTAAATTACTGCAGAGCGGCGCAGGACCTGCTAGCACAGACGGTCATCAAGCAGCAGGCTGAGGTGGCAATACTCAGCGAGCCCTACAAGGACAAGCATGAAGTCGTATGGCAACATAGCTCGGACGGCGGAGCAGCAATATGGAGCTGCGGGCAGCCCCCAGGACACCTATCGCAAAGGGCTTCCAGGGCGGGATACACCAGAGCGAAAATCAAAGGTATAACAAAGGTATAAGGTACAGCTGCTACATAGCCCCGAGCGTGCACATTAGCGAGTTCGGAGCTATAATGCAGGATCGCTGACGACGCACGCGGTAGGTGCCCTATCCTCATATCAGGTGATTTCAACGCATGGTCCACAACATGGGGCAGCGCTAGTACGACAAAGCGGGGAACAATCCACCTTGAGGCAGTGGCTTCGCTAAACGTATGCTTACTTAACGAAGGTAACAGACCAACCTTCAGCAAATCAGGTCGGGAGTCAATTAGACTGCCTAGCGGCCCGGCGCAGGTGTCAGAGAAGCAGAGGACGCGGAAATCAGGAGCTAAGGGAAACAACCTATAAAGCCAAGAGAAAGGTGCTGAAGAGCGCGATCAAAGCTAGCAAGGCCAGATGCTTCCAGAAGCTGTGCGAAGCGGCAGATGCAGAACCATTCGGGTCAGCATACAGGATGGTCATGGGTAAGCTCAACAGACAGCCGACCCCCACCGGCCACTTACAGCTTGGCCAAATAGTGTCCACCCTGTTCCCCACGCAGCCGCCCCTTACTTGGCAACCTACCGGGGAAGGCGATACTGTTCTTACCACCGAAGCCGAAGTCCTGGCTGCGCTAAGGAAAACCAAGACCGAAAAAGCCCCTGGCCCCGATGGCATTCCCAATGCCGCGCAGCACACATTGGTGGCAAACTACCCCAGGTGTATTCACGGAGATGTACAACACGTGTCCCATCCAACGAACCTTCTCCATTGGTTGGGAGCGTCAAAGGTTGGTGCTTATCCCAAATCCGGGCAAGTTGAACGATGACGCATTCTCGTACAGACACCTATGTGTGCTAAATACAACGGGGAAGATTTTCGAGCGCATAATCTGCACCCACCTCGAAAAAGAACTCGACCAACTTAGAGCGATATCGGACCATCAGTTTGGCTTCCGGAGAAAAAGAAAGACGCGATCCAAGCGGTCACCTAATTGGCTGCTAACGCAATCGAAGGAGAAAGGTGGCTAGATGGCTCAAAAGAGTACTGCCTCGTCTGCACCCTGGACGTCAAGAATGCCTTTAACTCTGCCAACTGGAACCTTGTCCTGCCAGCACTTCATCGCATGGGAATCTCGGACCACCTGATCGACCTGGTAGCGGACTACTTAAAGGACAGAGTGCTCACATATTCCTCTGACGTCGGAAAGCATGAGTACCAGGTGACAGGAGGAGTACCTGAAGGCACAGTCCTGTGCCCGATACTATGGAACGTCATGTACGACGGGATCCTAAGGCAGGCACTACCCGAAGGATGCACTGTTGTGGGATTTGCGGACGACATAGCGCTGGTAACGGTAGCGAAAACCATCGAAGAGATCACGGATAGATGCAGCCTCTCGATACACACCCTCATGTGCTGGCTCGCAGTCAACGGGTTACCAGTCGCCGAGCACAAAAGGGAGGCAGTGCTGATAAGCAGCAGGAAGGCTGTGGAGAAGGCAAGTGCCTCAATTAAGTATCTTGGAGTACTGATCGCAGCAGCCAAAGCATTCAAATCGACTGCAGCCATCTCAAGGATGATGGCCAATACTCGAGGACCAAAGCATCACAGCAGAAGGATCAGAAGGACCCATATGGGCCGAAGCTATGAAGACCGCAACATACAGCCGCCAGTGCAAAGCTGTCTACAGACGCTACAGACGCAGATGATCTCCGGGCACGGATGCTTCAAGGAATACCTGCATAGGTTTAAGCACGAGCCAAACCCCTTCTGCGACCACTGCGGCACAGGAAGCATCGAAGACGCGGAGCACGCGTTATTCATCTGCCCCCTATACGCTAGGAACCGAGCCGAAGCTGAAACAATAACCGATTGTAACCTGACAGCGGAGATCGTGATCAGCTGCATGCTGGAAAACCAATGCAAGTGGGACGCGATAGCCAACATGGCCGCTGGCATCCTGAAGGATCTAAGGTGTCGAGAACGGAGTCGACGCAACGAGTATAGCTTTGCGGCAGTCCCGCGGGAACGGAACACTTCTATCTCTTCTCTTCTTTTACCACTTTTATTCCTGTATATGGTTAAGCTTTATTTAATTAAAAAAAACGTACACATGTAGGAGATAAATGTTGTAACACCACCACGAATTTGTAACACCACCTCTCCATGTATATCAACCAATTGAAATGAAAGCCGTGAGGCTAAAATACATATAGTTTTAAAAAAATGTAGCTTTCTTATTTGAGAATGGAATCTCAGTATAGGACTGATTTATGATTGAATCCGAAAATGATTCATCTCGAAATCGAGATCGACTCGATGCTGAAACCAAGATGTCTTCATCTTCATGTCGAGACCACACATTCTAAAAAACTATTCGAAACCGAGAAGACTTAAATCTCGGTTTGAGTAAGAGTCGGTCATGCCTAACTTTTCAGATCGAAAACAGTGTAAGCAGAGTTAAAATATGATTTTGTTGGGTCGCGGGTCCAACTACTAAAATATCGGTCAGCAATAGATTCAAGGCCATTTTTGCGGGGGTGTCGAGGACAGCAAGTAGTTTTCTTGTCGAGCTTAGAGGTTGATTAATATTTATGCCAGACGCGGTTTCCATATTCCATAATATGGCGGTTCTTCATTATGCCCGATACTAGTAGAGTAAAAGGGTACACTTGATTTGTCGGAAAGTATGTAACAGGTAAAAGGAAGCGTTTCCGACCCTATAAAGTATACATATTTTTGCTCAGGATCACAACCGAGTCGATCTAGCCATGACCGCCTGTCCGTCCGTATGAACACTGAGGTCTCGGAAACAATGAAAGCTATAATTCGGCATGCAGATTCTTCGGGTTCTAAGACAGCGAAAGTTTATTTTAGCAGGTTGCCACACTCGGGAAACATTTTTTTTGCACATCCTGTAAATATTCATTTTACAAAAACCGTGCTAGGACCTTTACCAGATCCAGGGACTCCATAACTTTGATATAAAAAAACAGGCTTAAAGGCTTATTCAGTCCAACAGTCCTGAGTACTAGTTTATACGGATAAGTTAGTAAATTGCACAAACCATATACTGATCATTATTAGTTTATAGGGATAAATTACTAAATTGGAAAAGCAATTGGCACGATACACCAGAGCGAAAATTAAAGGTATAACAAATGCATAAGGTACAGCTGCTACATAGCCCCGAGCGTGCACATTAGCGAGTTAAGAATTATAACGCAGGATATCGCTGACGACGCACGCGGTAGGTGCCCTATCCTCATATCAGGTGATTTCAACGCATGGTCCACAACATGGGGCAGCGCTAGTACGACAAAGCGGGGAACAATCCACCTTGAGGCAGTGGCTTCGCTAAACGTATGCTTACTTAACGAAGGTAACAGACCAACCTTCAGCAAACCAGGTCGGGAGTCAATTATCGACTTGACCTTCGCTAGCCCTGAACTGGCACGTAACTGCGTATGGAGGGTGTCAGACATATACACTCACAGCGACCACGCCCTGAACATCACCCAGACAAGCCCCAGACTGGCCGCCCCAAGCAGCCGCCAAACGACCTGCAAAGCGCACACCCTTAACACAGTGTCCCTCCTAGCACACATGGAAGGCGTCTGCGTTACAGGAGACCGTAACACATGCGCGAGAAACATAGCCGATAGAGTGAAGGCGGCGTGTGACGCATCTATGGAGAAGGCCACGAAAGGTGGTAACGGGCGAAGACCAGTACCATGGTGGAACGACGAGATAGGCAGCGCGAGGAGAGACTGCCTAGCGGCCCGGCGCAGGTGTCAGAAAAGCAGAGGAAACAACAAAAGCTTGGCCAAATAGTGTCCACCCTGTTCCCCACGCAACCGCCCCTTACTTGGCAAGCCGCCGGGGAAGGCGATACTGTTCTTACCACCGAAGCCGAAGTCCTGGCTGCGCTTTGAAAACCAAGATCGAAAAAGCACCTGGCCCCGATGGCACTCCCAATGCCGCACTGCTCACATTGGTGGCAAACTACCCGGGTGTATTCACGGAGATGTACAACACGTGTCCCATCCAACGAACCTTCTCCATAGGTTGGAAGCGTCAAAGGTTGGTGCTTATCCCAAATCCGGGCAAGTTAAACGATGACGCATCCTCGTACAGACACCTATGTGTGCTAAATACAACGGGGAAGATTTTCGAGCGCATAATCTGCACCCACCTCGAAAAAGAACTCGACCAACTTAGAGCGATATCGGACCATCAGTTTGGCTTCCGGAGAAAAAGAAAGACGCGATCCAAGCGGTCACCTAATTGGCTGCTAACGCAATCGAAGGAGAAAGGTGGCTAGATGGCTCAAAAGAGTACTGCCTCGTCTGCACCCTGGACGTCAAGAATGCCTTTAACTCTGCCAACTGGAACCTTGTCCTGCCAGCACTTCATCGCATGGGAATCTCGGACCACCTGATCGACCTGGTAGCGGACTACTTAAAGGACAGAGTGCTCACATATTCCTCTGACGTCGGAAAGCATGAGTACCAGGTGACAGGAGGAGTACCTGAAGGCACAGTCCTGTGCCCGATACTATGGAACGTCATGTACGACGGGATCCTAAGGCAGGCACTACCCGAAGGATGCACTGTTGTGGGATTTGCGGACGACATAGCGCTGGTAACGGTAGCGAAAACCATCGAAGAGATCACGAATAGATGCAGCCTCTCGATACACACCCTCATGTGCTGGCTCGCAGTCAACGGGTTAGCAGTCGCCGAGCACAAAACGGAGGCAGTGCTGATAAGCAGCAGGAAGGCTGTGGAGAAGGCAAGTGCCTCAATTAAGTATCTTGGAGTACTGATCGCAGCAGCCAAAGCATTCAAATCGACTGCAGCCATCTCAAGGATGATGGCCAATACTCGAGGACCAAAGCATCACAGCAGAAGGATCAGAAGGACCCATATGGGCCGAAGCTATGAAGACCGCAACATACAGCCGCCAGTGCAAAGCTGTCTACAGACGCTACAGACGCAGATGATCTCCGGGCACGGATGCTTTAAGGAATACCTGCATAGGTTTAAGCACGAGCCAAACCCCTTCTGCGACCACTGCGGCACAGGAAGCATCGAAGACGCGGAGCACGCGTTATTCATCTGCCCCCTATACGCTAGGAACCGAGCCGAAGCTGAAACAATAACCGATTGTAACCTGACAGCGGAGATCGTGATCAGCTGCATGCTGGAAAACCAATGCAAGTGGGACGCGATAGCCAACATGGCCGCTGGCATCCTGAAGGATCTAAGGTGTCGAGAGCGGAGTCGACGCAAGGAGTATAGCTTTGCGGCAGTCCCGCTGGAACGGAACACTTCTATCTCTTCTCTTCCTCTACCACTTTTATTCCTGTATATGTTTAAGCTTTATTTAATTAAAAAAAACGTACACATGTAGGAGATAAATGTTGTAACACCACCACGAATTTGTAACACCACCTCTCCATGTATATCAACCAATTGAAATGAAAGCCGTGAGGCTAAAATCGTCATCTAGCTTTCTTTGCGTCCAGACGTGCTTAAAATTCTCGCTATGTTACTTCCCCGCTGTCCCGAGTGCAAAACCGATGTTACATTGGCCCAGCTTCGCGCTTCGGATGCTGTTCGCTGCTCTGCTTTGTGCCGTCGCGCCTATCATACTTCTTGCGTAGCGCTACCGGATGATGTGCTCAAACTCTTATTAAATCCAAATATACTATGGCAATGTGATAGCTGTGTGGTTGCGAATGATTCGCATTCTAAAATAGATGAATTCGATGAAAAATTGAAAGCCCTGGAGCGCTTATATCAGGGCCTTCAAAATAAATTCATGGAGGCGTTTCCCCCTAAAGATGATGCATTGAATCAGAATGTAAATCCCAAACCTCGTCTACCAAGGCCTACCAACGTAGCTGCAGCTCCCCTGTCATATGCGGCTGCTGCTGCTACGGCTTCCGCGGTCGTTGACCCTTCCAATCATGCTCTGGATATGGAGAGAGGAAATTTCATACAAGTTCGAAATAAGAGGAGAAGGAACAACAACAAGCCCAATAAACATGTTGTTGGAGTGGCTCCTAATGCCGAAGACCTTCATGTTTTGCCGACCAAGAAATTTTTGCATGTCGGAAAGTTTGCAACTGATACAGAGCCGAATGCTGTTTTAAAATATGTGTCCACCAAGCTTAAGGTGGATGCTAGTTCTCTCACTTGTGCAAAGCTTGTAAAAAAAGATGTCGACGTTACAACTTTCAAGTTTGTTAATTTCAAGCTTGGTATCCCTGATCAGCTTTACGATATAGTCTTCAAAAACGATTTCTGGCCGAACTCAGTTAAGGTCAAAAGATTTATTCATAGAGAGCGGGCCATTGTGGTAGGGGATGGAATTTTATATAATTTGCCGGAGCCTGGACAAACTTCATCATCAAGTCAGTCGTCAAAAAACCCCTAGTGTTCGACGCCACTGGCGTTGATACTTTTGCGGGACATCGTCTGCAAGCCTTTCCTAATTTGTCGGAGTCGTTTTCGCAACAACATCGGCAGCTGCTTGCGTTTCTCACTGCGCTCTCTTCATCTTCTGACTCTCTCCTAACGCACCATCGACAACATCAGCCGGAGCTTTTGATGTCCACTTTGTGCGACATTCGCAGTCCACCTGGTTCTAATATCGGCGCACTCCTCGGAGTTGCGCTCTCATCATCTTTCGCCTCTCTCCCGTTGCACCGTCAACAACATCAGCTGGAGCTTTTGTTGTCCGCTGTGCGCGACATTCGCCGTCCGCCTGGCTCTAATATCGGCGCGCTCCTCGGAGTTGCGCTCTCATCATCTTGCGTCTCTCTCCGGAAGGACCTAGAAAATCGGGTGGATTCTTACTCTTCATCGCCTAATAGTTATGCGCTCTCCAACCTTTCTGACGTTCGACTATCTACAACAACTTTTATCGACACATTTGGCTGGATGGCGAGCCTCTCAGAGTGCTCTCTCTGAAGGTGCTCTTTGGAGATGCTTTCGCCATCAACAACAACAATGGACTGCGGCTGCTGTAGTACGTTCTCGCTCATTATTACCAGGAGTGGATTCACCTGCGTGCAGTTATATCTTGAATGCTAATATTGACTGCCCACCTAATATTTGGAGCGCCGATCACCAGCCTATTCGTATCCGTACCACTACTTTACTAAAGGTTCTTACAAATAATTTTATTAATTATGATAAAATCCCAGCGAGGCCTCTTACGGATTCGGGCCATGATGCTGGACCAGTTATTGATAGCATGACCATGGATGACCGGATATGCGCTAACAATACAAATTTCAATATTTATTTTCAAAATATCGGTGGTATGCGTACGAAAGCTCAATCCCTTTTCCAGGCAAACGTCTCATGGTGATCATGACGTCATCATTTTTGTTGAAACCTGGCTCAACATGGATTTCTTCGATAATGAATTCTTCGATACAAATCTTTATCATGTGTTCCGTAAGGATCGAGATTCCGTTAAAACACGATGCTCCAGAGGTGGCGGAGTTTTAATTGCTGTGCGGCGTGAGCTGCGTTGCATTGCTATTTGTCTCCAGAACGAGGATTCTCTGCTCGACCAACTCTGTGTATCTCTCGCTGGTCCTACGGAAACAATTTTCCTGACAGTATCATACATACCCCCAAGCAGCAGTTTTGATTTATATAAAGCGCATGTTGACAACATTGCCCACCTATACCAGGAGCTGGAAGATGGCCAATATATATGTGTTTTGGGCGACTTCAACCTATCTTCGCTCGTGTGGGCTCATGATCTTGAGTCTTCAGGAATGGTTCCCAGTAATCTGCATCTTCCCCACGAAATCTTAGTCATCGATGAGCTTCTTAGTATGGGATTAGTCCAGATTAACCATGTTTTTAATAACTTAAATAAGCTTCTAGATCTAATTTTTGTACACCCTGATATATGCCTTACTCTATGCTGCAGCGATAATCCTCTAGCCGCGTGTGATGCTCATCACAAGCCCCTATTAATCTTAATTACTTGTTATATTTTCTCACCAAATAATTCTCGCTTGCCTCTTACCTATATTAATTCTAGCAGTTTAGATTCTATCCGTAGTGATATTTCTAATATCAGATGGGCGGAAGTCCTCTCGCATGCGGATGTGAATACAACCTATGAAGTTTTTATATCTTTTCTCTCTACTATTATAGGCAGATATGCTAAAACTAGAGTTCAAAGTTCTTATAGACTACCATGGTACACACAAGGACTAAAAAAATACAAAAATCTCCGAAATAAATTCTATAAGCGCTACATAGAAAGCGGTGAAGCTGCCGACTTTGATCGGTACAAACAACATAAGCGTGAGTTTGAGTTCCTCAAGAAATTCTTATACAGCCAATATATTGCTGATAAAGAATGTAAACTAATTACCAATCCTAAGTCATTCTGGCACTTTGTCAATTCTAAACGTACAACCTCCTACTTTCCTTCCCATATGTCATATGAAAGTCTTTCAGCTTCTTCTGATATTGGGGTCGCTAATCTATTTGCTAAGTACTTTGTATCTAACTTTGAACCGAGCTCGCTGTGGAATGACGATGATTCACTCGGTGCCATTGCCACGATGCTAAATTTTGGGTGCTTAGATGTTACTGATTTGGACTGTCATATGGCGGCTGAGAGTTTTAACGACTCAGGAAAATTAGACTGCGATGGCCTTTCTCCATTTATTTTGAAAAACTGTATAGGTGTTCTTTGTGAGCCCCTAAAAATGATCTTCAACAAGTCTCTTTCCACTGGGGTATTTGCGAATAGATGGAAACTTGCCACAGTTTCTCCTATATTCAAGTCTGGTTACAAAAATATTGTTTCAAATTATAGGCCAATTGCAAAGCTAAGTAATGTCTCAAAAATGTTTGAACGAATTGTAGCTAAGCAGCTAACTTTTCTTGCTGGTCGGTTCATCAGTCCTAACCAACATGGTTTTATGCCTGGAAGGTCAACTACCACTAACTTAGCTACGTTTAATCTTTTTTGCATCCACTCGTTTATCAGTCATCATCAAGTTGATGTAGTCTACACCGACTTCGCCAAAGCATTTGACAAAGTCTCCCATAATGCTTTATTGGCAAAATTGCAGAAATTGGGATTTCATTCATCAATATTAAATTGGTTTAAATCTTATTTAGATGGGCGGATTTATAGAGTAGAGTGCAATGGTGTTTTCTCAAACCCGTATGTGGCTACTTCTGGCCTTCCTTAGGGAAGTGCATTGGGTCCGTTTCTATTCATCATTTTCATTAATGATTTAAGCTATTGCATAACAAATTCTGAATTCCTGTTGTTTGCGGACGATCTTAAAATATTTAAGTCTGTGAATTCAATCTCCGATAGTGAACTTCTTCAAAATGACCTAGTAAAAGTGGGAAATTGGTGTTCTCGTAATAAGTTGCCTCTGAACGTGTCAAAATGTTTCTACGTTAGGTACAGCAAACGATTAATTAATGTCCTTAGCTCTTATTCCATTAGTTCCCATGTTCTTTCCTTAAGAAATGAATCACTGGACCTAGGAGTTATGTTTGATACCAAATTTACTTTCATGGATCACATAAACTACATAATTCCAAAGGCATACGCTATGTATGGTTTTGTAAAACGAAATTCCACGCAATTTAAAGATCCGTACACGAAACTAAGCCTATTTTCTTCGATCATTAGGTCCAGATTGGAATATGCTTCGTTTGTCTGGAGTCCGACTGGAACTACAAACATCAATCGTATTGAGCGTGTTCAAAAAAAATTCCTATCTTTTGCCCTTCTTTCTCTAAACTTTAATGACCCGGTTCCCTCTTACTCTGCGAAATGTCGTCTTGTGCACCTTTCTTCCCTACAAGATCGTAGAACAACTAGCGCACTAGTTTTTATTTGTGACCTGCTGTCCTCCAAAATAGACTGCCCTGCATTGCTGAGTAGCATAGGCTTTTCCGTAACTGGTAGGTCTTTAAGGTCATTTGAACCTTTTTTTATTCCGGCATATAGAGCTAACTATGCTTTTAATGAGCCTCTGTGTAGAGCCTTGTTCTACTGGAACAAACTTCCATCTCACATGCGGCTGGACCCATGCTCCCCTAGGGAATTAATTAAGAAAACCCTTTACAATTACCTTTCGTCCCTTAGTATTTAGTTTAGTAATAGACAAGTAGCCAGTTAAGGTACCAACTGTTGGCGAGAATGGAATCTCGCCATTGATAGGACTGATTTATGATTGAATCCGAAAATGATTCATCCCGAAATCGAGATCGACTGGATGCTGAAACCAAGATGTCTTCATTTTCATGTCGAGACCACACATTCTCAAAAGCCATTCGAAACCGAGAAGACTTTAATCTCGGTTTGAGTAAGAGTCGGTCTTGCCTAACTTTTCAGATCGAAAACAGTGTAAGCAGAGTTAAAATATGATTTTGTTGGATCGCGGGTCCAACCACTAAAATATCGGTCAGCAATAGATTCAAGGCTATTTTCGCGGAGGTGTCGAGGACAGCAATTAGTTTTCTTGTCGAGCTTAGAGGTTGATTAATATTTATGCCAGACGCGGTTTCCATATTCCATAATATGGCGATTCTTCATTATGCCCGTTACTAGTAGAGTAAAAGGGTATAATTGATTTGTCGGATAGTATGTATAGACCCTATAAAGTACATTTATTTTTGCTCAGGATCACAGCCGAGTCGATCTAGCCATGACCGCCTGTCCGTCCGTATGAACACTGAGGTTTTGGAACCAATGAAAGCTATAATTCGGCATGCAGATTCTTCGGGTTCTAAGACAGCGAATGTTTATTTTAGCAGGTTGCCACACTCGGGAAACATTTTTTTTGCACATCCTGTAAAATTCATTTTACAAAAACCGTGCTAGGATCTTTTTCATATCCAGGGACTCCATAACTTTTATTTAAAAAAACAGACTTAAAGGCTTATTCAGTCCAACAGAGTGACTAGTTAAGTAGACAATGCAAGCCAGATCTCAATGATACCCTTTGGCCTGTGAGAAAATCATAGAACATCCGTGTGCTAATCAAAGGGTGGAATATTACACGTGCGACTGAGCGAGAAAGAAGATTTATGTCTGTAGAGACTTTGAAAAGTTGGATCGTAGGTTTATATTAGTCATTGCTATAAGAACTTAATTTTCCTTTCCCCTGTGTTTCCTAAAGGTACACTTTTTTAAATTTCTTAACGCTTTAAATTTATAGTGGTTCTAACTTTTATTTGTATCCATGTGGATACTCACATTATATGTTTAAATTCAATTAATATGGTGATATGTGCAGCAGAGATCACGTTTATACATATACATATGTTAGTAATAGGCTTAATACTAAAGTTGTTCGTAAAGTCATGTAAGTACAATAGAAAATGTGTTTATTGAAATAAAAAACTTATGAACCGTGTGCAATACAATTATTGGCTGCTTTAATAGACGTCATCGGAACGTTGATTTCACGGAACTATTAGATCCTAACATCGATCCTAACATTGACTTTTATGGGCATAATATTAGATGAAGGCTTAAAAAGTGGTATTTTAAGCAAAACCCATATACTTGAAGCCATAGAAACATTCATCCAGTAAACTTTAAACTGGCTACTCTTCACAAGCACCATAGATATACTTTTAAATTTGTTTTTTTGTCAATAAGTCCTGAGTACTAGTTAACTTTCAATACCTAAGAATTCTAAGCGTCCTCACATTTTTGCGCCATACACTGATCATTATTAGTTTATACGGATAAGTTAGTAAATTGCACAAACCATATACTGATCATTTTTAGTTTATACGGATAATCAGACATTATTTTACAGACAACTAGAAGATTTTCAGAAGACTACGTTTCTTTATAATAAAACTATTCAAATTAAAAGAAAGTTGTCAAAATGCCATTTTAAAACGAAATATGGATTCAAAAGAAGAAAAATATATAAATGTGAAACAATTTACCTTGAATACAATAAAAAATGCAAATAAGGACAGTAGGGATATTCAAAATGTCATTTTGAAACGAAATATGGTTTTAAAAAGGTGGAAAATATACAAATCTGGGACTACTTACCTTGAATACAACAAAAAATGCAAATAAGGATAGACACAAAGATAAATTAAATAATATTCTTGACCCTACTATACTTAACTATAGCAAAGCTTTTGACACCGATGATCTCTCGATACTTTGTACCAAACTAAGTAAAATATTTAGGCACGGCAACAAATCTAATGGCATCATATCTTGGGACCGATTTCAAACTATTTGGTATTTTTTTCAGTTAAAAGTGGTGTGCCGCTTCTATTTTTGTTGTATATAAAAGTCTGAAATAGACATAAGCAATTATGTCAAAAAATTCAAATTAAAAAAAAATGCTCTAATTGAGTTGAGTTAGTTTGAATTTGTAGGCACACTAGATTGAGTAAGTCTGTAACGTACGACTCAGTCATACCAGAAAAAGATATGTAAAACGAAGCGAGTAAAGAAGACCACGAACATGTAGATGTGTTTCAATATATTGCATCCAGATGCATGCCCAAATGGAAATTCGGGAATGCATTTTGAAACAAATAGTTTTGGGTCGTATCATTATTACGCAAAACAACACGCATGCAATTTTACTAAGACAAATGTGCGTGCTAGGTGCAGAATATTGCGGTGACTTCTAGATGTCAATATAGTGCATCCAGGTTTATTTTGCTGGAAATGTAAAAGAACAAATAGAAACCCGAAGGTTGCCGATGCCCGTTTTTACGATCGTTTTTTCGGTACTGCTCTCTTGACAAAAGGAAACATGCAAGTTCGCGAGCGGTTTTTTCTTGTCTTTTGCATTTCTTGTCAGTTGCATTTTTAATTCTGAAAAGTGGCGTTCACGCCAAGTGTTTTGAAATAGTTTGTTGGTTTCTGCCACCAATTTTACATCAATATTTTCACAGGTAAGTAAAGTGTAGATAATTTAGATCAATATGAACACAATATAATAACATAATACATATGTACAATTGTACATATGTACATTGAATGTGCAAACTAAAAACAAATTAGTTATATAAAATAATAATTATTTGCATGTAAATTGTACATACAACAGTGTATTTGTGCCAAAATAAATATTGTATATTTGTAAAAAAAAAAACACATGTATATAAATATATAATATTCAATTTGCGTTATATCTTTCAGAATCGCAGAAAAGGGATGGGCACACCAAGGACTGAACTGCGTAAATGATAAAAGTACATAAATAAGAAGGAAGCAGAAAAGCAGAAGGGGAGAGATTCCGATCAAAAATTAGTTGCGTTCTTTAATATTGAAATAAAAAAAAATATGAAATGAAATCAAGTTTTATATTCCTTGGGGAAACTTACAGATATTTAATTTTTGAAAGCATCTAAGTTCATTAAAAAAGAGTTCGTCCAAATGTGTATAGTTTGTTGCATCTGGGTGCATTCCTGGGTACATGTTTCAGGTGCAATAAAAAAGAGTGCGTCCAGAATGTGTCTAGCTTGTTGCATCTGGGTGCATTCCTGGGTACAGGTCACAGGTGCATTAAAAAAGAGTGCGTCTAGTTTTTGAATCTAGGTGCATTCAAAATATATCCATCTAGATGCATGTAACGGGTACACTCTGTTTTGTCCCGCACCCGTGTAAAAGGAATGGACAGACTCATCACTTTCGGCACAGGTTTTTGGTGTCATTTCATCATGAAAGAACAGGTGCTGAAATGTAGTCGTTTACGACTGGGGTTTGATTCCAGTCAAGCCGACTCTGAAAGTACAGTGCATATGTATGCCGATGATATACACATGTATGTGAAACTAATGACTGTATCACTGTATCTCATCGGGAACTAATGAGTGGTAAGGTCTACATTTTAAACCGATTAAATCGAAAGTTATTGTAACTTATAAGAAATTCATTAATACAGACAACTTAGAAATACTTATCATACAAGATACTTTTAATTGCTAGACTGACAAAAATCGAATTTAAGATTTATTTTCAATAACAAACTAAATTGAAAGAATTTTTAAAGTCATGCTACTAACAAACGTATATCGTTTTACGAATGCTTTCTTTGACACAATATGTTTTATCAATACCAATTCCATCACTGATAGCAAAAACATGCTTTGTACCAACTTTAATGTATGAAGTAGAGCTTATTGCTTATTAACAATTCAATATATATTCAATTCAATAAAATGTTTAATGATAATAAAATAAGAATACAATAAAATTATGATACTAATAAAATATATATACAAATCGGTTCAGACAAAATGTAAAACTTAACAGAAAAATATTTGTGAGTAGTACTATAAATTATAAATAAATACAAAATAATCGTTTTTTTTAAATAAAGAAGCAGTCAACAGAAGACATTACCCAGTGGCGCCTTTGACCAAAAAACGTAATTCAAAATTTAAACGTGGGCATAAATTGTGAAGCACACCTTTCGGCGGGAAATTTATCTACTATTCTAAATATGTAACCTTTATAAATATCAGATTGATCGACCCATATCGGTTCATCCAGGCTTATTATTGTTGAACGTTGATGCACTAGAAGCAGTACAAACAAGTGGCCCAAACGACACCAAGCATGTGCTTGTTACGCGCGGGCCCATTTTTATTTCGGGCAAATATGGTTCGTGAGGAAGGTACATAGAACAAATAAAGAAAGGATAAAACATAGATCAACAAGACTAAAGCAAATGAGCTAAGATTTTAGTTTTTAATAGAGGGATAGAAGTTGAGGAACAAATTAAATGGTAAAGGTTGTTATAATTATTTGAAAGAACGCGAAAGGGCTCGTGCTGACTAAAATTAGATGAACATCGTGGCAAGTTGATAGGGTAGTAGTTTCGGTCAATTCTAACAGGAACATTGAAAGTTAGGCGGCTTACCGAATCTACAGAATCAATATCGCCTCTGATAAGATTATTCATAAAAATAGTACCAAGCATAGTTCTACGGTTTACTAGACTAGGCAAATTACTCGAGTAGAACTGATCCCACTTCAAACCACGTAAGGCAAAAAGAAGAAATGGTTTCTGTACGGACTCTATACGGTCAATGTGCACTTGATACTGAGGACTCCAAACGGAAGAACAGTATTCTAAATTAGGACGGAGGGTAAATAACAATTTGGTAGTGTATGGATCATCAAATTCTTTAGACCAACGCTTTATAAACCCAAGAACACTCATAGCTTTATTTACAGTAGAGGTTATGTGGGAGTCTAATTTAAGTTCAGGATCTAGGAGAACACCTAAATCGTTTACTGAGTATATTCGGTCCAGGGACATGTCTGAAGGGAGTAACTCATGAACGTTGGCGTACCCCTATAAAATGTCATAACATTGCATTTAAGATAGTTTAAATTCAAAAGGTTGTACTGACACCATTCCTGGAATCTATTAATGTCTGACTGCAACCAGAAACCAGACTCAATATTATTATATAAAAACAAGGAAGAACGCTATAGTCGAGTACCTCGACTATCAGATACCCGTTACTCAGCTAAATAGAGATATGCAAGCAGCAAAGCGAGATTAAAATGCGCCACCTACCGGCGGTACACAGATTTAAGCGTTATGGGCGTTAGAGTGGGCGTGGCAAACTTTTTTTGGATCAATCGTTAGGTATTAACAGAGAGTGAGTTAGAATAGAGGGAAGATCATTTATAAACAGAGTAAACAGCAAACGGCCTAAATGACTGCCCTGCGGCACTCCAGATGTTGTTGGAAACAGCATTTTTGAATAAAACCCTCTGAGATCTACCATTCAAATAACTTGAAATCCAAGTTAACAGATTATTCGGAAACCCGAGCTGATCTAATTTGAAAAAAAGAAGAGAGTGGTTTACAGAGTCAAAGGCTTTACTAAAATCTTTATATATAACGTCTGTCTGCAATTTTTTCTTAAATTCATCTATTACAAAAGATGTCAATTCGAGCAGGTTAGTGGTGGTCGATCTACGCTTAACAAAACCATGTTGACACGGCGATATTAAAGAGGAGCACAAATGTTGCAACTGAGAGGTAATAATGCGTTCAAATGTTTTAGGAATTGCAGACAATTTGGAGATTCCTCTATAGTTCTGAGCATTAACCTTCGCACCCTTTTTGTGGAGTGGAATAATAAAAGAATCTTTCCAGATAGTAGGAAAAACAGATGATGAGATAGACAAATTAAAAAGTTTAAGAATGGGTTTACAAATAGTTCGGGCACAAAACTTAAGAACACACCCAGGGAGTCCATCTGGCCCCGGAGAATAGGTTGGCGTTATAGTTTCTAAATCCCTTAAGAGAGAACTCTCGGTGATTACAGGAGAAAAAATACAATTTGCCCTGTTTAAGTGATTAGGGTAGCTAGAATTAGACCATGAAACAGAACTATAAGTAGATTGGAAGAATTCAGCAAATAAATCTGCAATTTCGGGATCCGTAGATGCCTCAATAGAGTTTAATCGTACGGATGATGGCAATGCTGAAGACTTTCGCTTAGCATTGACAAAGTTATAAAATTGCCTCGGATCCTTTGAAAATTCGAATTTACATTGGTTCAAATACATGGAATAGCAATGAGTGTTAAGTACATTAAAATTAGTACGAGCCACCACATATCTTGAAAAATCGGATGGCCTACCCGACTTTTTGTACTTTTTATAGAAGTTTGTTTTTAGGTTTCTAAGTCTTTGCAACTGATTGGTAAACCAAGGTTGCCTGTCTAACTTAGGAGGAAAACTGTCAGGAACACATTCACTGAAAAAAGAGTTTAGGACACTATAAAATAGTTCCGTAGCACTTTCAATATCCAAGCAATTATATAAATTTGTCCAGTTATATTGTGAAATCAAGTTGTTGAGTTTACTAAAGTCACATTTACGAAAACATCTACTTTTAGTTGGAGAAAGTAAAGGAGAGAGGGTATCAACGCAGGGAAGACAAATTGTAAGTTCTAATGTGGGATGATACCGGTCTTCTGGCACAACTAGTGGGTCAATTCTAGATACCGTGACTTCAGACGGATCTATAACAAATAGTCATGGTCAGATAAAGGGGTAGAGACAAGTGAGTCAGTGGAAGGGGACCAAGAAATGTCATGGAGATTGAAATCACCCAAAACCAATTAAAAGATCCCTTTCGGAAAGATGAGGTAGAACAGTTTTTATTGCAGACAAATGTTGCTCATAAATTGTTAAGTCGGATCCAGGTGGAATATAAGAACAAGTTACATAAATAGATAAAGATTTCAAAGAATCTTTAACACCAACGAATTCTATGTCACTGGGATTAATATTCTCTCCGATGTTAAGGTAGAGGTAACGGCAATCAGCATCCACCCTCCCTACGAGGAGTGCAATCAGTTCTATACGTATTAAAATCTTTGGACAGAACTTCAGAGTCTGATATCTCCGGTTTCAGCCAAGTCTCAGTAAAGGCCAGAATGTATTCAGAAAAGGCAGAGGAGTCAGCATAAAGCTTAGGTAGCTTCACATTAAGTCCCCTAACATTTCGATAGGCCAAAAATAAACTGCTCAGTTTTTTGGCGCAGGTACTGTCGTGGAAGGCCTATTATTAGTTCTCCGTCTGTTTGGAACAAATTCTTCAATGACCAGTTCATCATTAAGCCAAAAACTTTTAGAATTTAGTACATTAAATACTTCCGGAGGAGCATATATTTTAAATGAAGATATCCTACGAACATATGGAAATTTAAACTCATCCACTGTGATGTTTTGAGATGGGAATTCCTGTTGTATAAATTCCAAAACATCTGCAGATGTGGTTTCAGGTGTTAAACGAGACACAAATAATTGCTTTCTATATGTAACAACCGAGAGGCTCTTTCTTCCATTATTAGCAATCTGAACATCGTTCGTCTGATTATCGAGACTAGGGACTCCTATAGAGCTAACTTCACCAGTAGGCACAGAAAGCTGCGTAGGGTTAGGCTGACTAGCAGAAACAGGGAGTCCTCCAGAGCTTTTGGTACCTATGGGTACTGCTGTCAGTGAAGCTTTAGGTCCCCCAGACCCAGTAGATGCCGACATAGCTGCCGTTACCGATCGGGTAAAAATATTTGGAGCTAAGTTGGGATTTGGAACTGATGCCTTTACGGGAGCAAATTTTGAAGGAGCGGTCTTTTTGCGTTTAGGTGACCCTACTGACATTTTTTTATTCTCAAGGTCCGCCTTAAACTCTTTAAAATCAGCAACTACGCTCATAAGCTTATCAAAAAGTTTCATAAAACGATCATTGGTCAGCGCAACATAGCCATCCAAATCACGGTCTATTTCAACGCAAGAGGCACAAGTCCACGAAAAACCA